CCCCCCCAACCCCACTTTTTAGGGAACTCTGCCGTATTTCATCCTGCGCAAATATCTGTACAGTATGCTAAAGGTTCAAACGATACCAGTGGCGGATCCAGGATTTTTTCTAAGGGTGAGGGGGTTGTAGMATTGATTGAGATACTTGTTTGGCGGTAAAGTAGCACAGGGTTCTCAAACGGTAGTAGGTCTTATGAAAACGATTATTTGCTGCAGGCGAGCATGGTTGTTTCAGGTCCCACRTACGGCGTATACAAAAAAGAGCGAGCRAAATGTGTTCGGCACCTTTGTTTTGATAAAACTYGCGATGCTGTTGGTGTTGTCATGAAAAAAAATAATAAATAATAAATCACGATAGGGGGGATTGCTCTCATAGGGGGGATTGCAACACCCAAAACCCACCCCTAGATCCGCCACTGGATACTGACTCACAATCAATATAAATAGTTTTGGGAAAATTGCGAGTACTTGTACAGCAAAAACTGAAACTTAAATTGCAAAATCTTGCAAAAACCAAGAAATATAATTAATGAAAGTTACTAGTAATCCATTTTGGCGAGCAAATACCCGAAACTAACTGAACGAGTGCAGGTTATATTTTTGGCCACAACCGAAGGAAACGAACGTTCCAAATCGAGCGTATCTATCGGCCTCAGYCGARTACAATTGCTCTCGTTTTAATAACTACAAACAAACGAAAATTTCGAGGGAACGAAAGAAAAACGAGCACGACTTCGCCTTCAGTCCTTGTGGACATATACTTTATAGGTTGTACTCGACCAAGCACAAGGAATAACGTGCACCTGGAGAAGAGGGAGCTCTCCTGAAGTTGCTGTACTTTGGAGTTCGAGATTGGGAACCGAAACAAAGCGACCGTTAGGGACTAGTCATAAAGCATGCGGGGGGTTGGCAAATTTAGATACCTGGAAGACAATTTTTGTGTGACCCACGTATCCCCACACGGTTGCTGAAAAAATACGTGACCCACCCCCATTTTCAAGGGCAAAAATGAAAAAAAAAACCATSCAAAGTCGTCCTATTTCTTTAATGGCCCACCCCTTGTAAGGAGCTCAAAAATAATTTTGCCAGTCCACCCACCCTTGGCTTCATCGAATGTATTACTTACATATGTTCAGCCCTATTTACTTTAACAGCTACGCATGATTACATATTAATTACTAGTAAAGATTTCACACTGAAAGCACTGCGTTCCCTGAATCCTTATTTAACCGATTTATTTTTCATTTTCGATATTGAGCTGAGATTCATTTAAACTAGAAATAAACAGGAATGGGAAACATACCAGTCTCGATTATTCAATAATTTAGGCATTTTTTCAGAGTTTCTCAATTATTATGTAATGATAAAACTAGAAAGCTGTCGGATAAATAATTTTTTTTCTTTCGTATTGTGGTATAAGATAAAAGCTATCATATTTTTCTTTGTAAAGGGTGAAGGGTGGGGTTGCTTGATTCTCACTTTTCGGAATTTCCTCAGGYATATGGCCTCTAGCATAAAATTTCAATAAGGAAAAAGAAAAAATCTATTCATAAGAGAAAAATATAATGAGAATAAAGRCAATTTTCGATAATTTAATTTTCYGTTAAAAAAGGTTTGTTTGTTTKGAAAATTTGTCATCTTGAAAGCTTTTAAGCATTTGATATTGCTTTTGAAAGTAATGACAATCTTGCAAACCTTAGCCGACAACAGGTAGTTTCATTTTACCATGAAAAACGTACATCAATATTCCAATTTACTGCATCCGCAGAAGTTCATAACTAGTTATGAACTTAACCTTCTGAATGCATCGGAAATTCTTACATGTAACCTCACTTGTTGACTAACCTTAAWTTACTTGTCAAGCGACTGTACAACGTCTAATATTTTGTATTTCCATTTCTTGTTAACAATTCCCTCCCTGCAATTTGTTCCCTTTTTTCCTTTTTATCCGACGCTCTTAAACTCACAAATAATATGCATCGAAACAACATTTTGCACATTTCCAACCTGTYGAACTCTATTATGTTTTAAGTACTTTGAATCAACTCTTGTAAAACTGTCATATTAAGAGTAGACTGAATGAGGAAGGAATTTGCACTGCTCTCGATCAGGCAATCAGAGTCGAGTATTTTTTTCAGTAGTTTTTTTGATGTGTTCTTTCCCGGGAAATGACATGTCTATATCGGCAAACATGTTTCTTTTTTTTCTTTGCCACTTCAATATGTCTGGACAGTTAATTGACCAATAAAATCTTAACTTGTTCGTTCTCAGTATTAAACTGTTCGTTCATTTACTTTAATGTCGCAATGTTACACAGTTTCCACAGGTTCCAGTAGTGGCGACTTTGTCAATTCTATATATTTTAGCAAGTTCTAGACATCATGATATCAGTTTGATGAATTGTTACTTGAAGTTGATTGCAGTTTCCATACGTTGTGYTTTGATGCATTGATCTTAAGCGGCGGTTATTAACATTTCTGTTTCAAATGCTTTTAGGCATTTCTGTTGTCAACGTTTATACGGCATTCTTTTTAATCRCATTTAGTTAAAGCTGGCCAACCCTTCGCGCGCTGTGGTGTTATAAGTGTTTTTTTTACAGACCAAATATTCTGCTTTACTTTTTAAAAGTAGTTTAAAAGCGAAAAAAAGTGCCGTCGCGTGAAAAGTATTTTCTCGTAGTTCCAGTTTTACAAACCAAAATCCATAAATGCACAAACCTTTATTATAAATACTCAGTATATGATTGATACTCAGAAGTTCGTCGGTGTCCTTGTCATATATAATAACTGTGTGCTGGACTGAACAACTTTGGTCGTTTTGGATTACTATATATTATTGTTATATATTATATATTATTATTATATAT